GATCTGAGTGAAGGAGCATCTATCTCTTAAATGTTTTAAAAATAATCTTAATTTCTGTTTTGTAGGCTGTAAGGACTATTGTTGGGCTTTATGGTTTTATCTAGTGAATCAGTACCCGTTTCTAGATTTCACTTGTTTTTATTATGTCGAAGTTAATGCTTTGCTCCACGAGAAATTAAAAATTCAGAAGACAGAAGAACAGTATATATTTCCCAAGTGCCTGCATACCTGTGTCTGAGATTAGACAAATCATACATGTAAAATAGTTTTGCTGAAGGTTGGCCCACTGATTTTCTGTTAAGAGGTCAACCTAGATAAAATTTGTGCTCTTGATGACCACAATTCCTAAGTCCCTTTTTCTCACAAAGTTGTCACCATTCAGTCAGCATAGATAGAACAATGCTCATGCATAGTTCTCTTCAAGATTCCTTTCCTGCTATGTTCTTTAGATCACTCCATGTGGTTGTAATTAAAAAAAAAATACTTGCAAATACACGCTTTGCTTTGCCCATTCAGCATCTGGGTTTTTTTCCAATCTGTTTAACTTCATGTGTATACTTGTAAATGTTACATTTTGTTCCCCTCTTTTCATCAGTGTATGATAATTTTTTGTGAGACGTACTGTAAAAAGTTTTCAGTGTTTTGGCGTTTTGTATCCGAGATGTGAAGGGAGATTTCCAAAAGCTTGGCTATTTGAGTATAAGGTTTGTATTTCCCAGTGACAGTAGACAAACCAGAAATTTTTTAGAAGCCATCTTTCTTATCAATGATGAGAAGCTAGGCTGTTCCTCTTCCCATAGATATTTCCTTGTATAAAAATTGTACCTGTTTTCTACTTTCTACACATACATCAAACAAGACTTATATTTTGGTTGTTAGAGTGATGGTAGACATTCTTAAAATTGAAGAGGCAGTTTTAGTAGCTTTCTTCTTTATTCTTTTTCCCTTATTTTGGGAAAAAAACTACATTATGCATGCAAAGTGTCATGCGGTAATGGATGTTTCCATTACCTGTTGGGATTATCCCATCTTCAAAGATAATCATAGCTAACTGTGAACATTATTCATATTGTTTAGCTGTTATTTTATTGTATCACATAAACATAGTATAAGATTTGTTACATAATTGAAGTATTTGAACTAAAATATGTTGTTTCCTCTCTTCCCCTTTCCCCCTCCCTACCTGAATTAGGGGTTGATATAGAGGCAGCTCGAAAAGAAGAAGAACGAATAATGCTAAGAGATGCAAGACAGTGGCTCAACAGTGGTCATATAAATGATGTCAGGCATGCAAAGTCTGGTGGGACAGCACTTCATGTAGCTGCTGCTAAGGGCTATACAGAAGTCTTAAAGTAAGTGTGGTTCACATGGAAGTTTTTCATATTTGATTGTCTTGTTGATGTAATGCTGCTTGGAATGGATAGGATTGGACACTTCTGACTTTTAGAGATTGTGTATTGGAAAATAACAGTCTCTAGAGCTGCCTTTTCCTCAAATCTTGATTTTATGTTTTCAAGCACTCATAAATCATGATGGTGTTAGCTTTCTACATTGTCTTTCAAAATATGAATGTAGTGTACATATTGAGCCTTAATGCTTACTTAAAAGAAGAAAGTTGACAAAAAAACTTGCCCTCTTTCTAAAGCCAACTGTGTAAACAGGCTTAATACCTTTTTACAATGCAAGTTAGCATTCTGGTTGATGCATATTTTCAAGACACCATATTTATTGTGTACGTAAAGCAGAGTTTGTAATCCAGTCCAAAGGTTTTTAGACCCAAAGAACAGAGAATTTCATTTGCTTTTTTGTTAAAGTTGTTGAAAATCATGACTCTTGAAATCTTTTCCGGAAAGCTTCAAGCTTTTTGTGTCCCCTAATTCACAGGTAGCTTTTAATTAATACAATACAAGTATATTTTGTAACAGAGGTTTAATTTGTTTTTCATCAAGCTCTGCTTTTATTGAAGTAAAGCATACTTCATAACATACTGCTTTACTGTGATTGTAAATGTATAAATGTATTTGACTGCTTTAGCAGTACTAGGAAAAGTTATATATTGTAACGTGAATGCAAATGACCACACATCCTGACTGTGTAAGTATTGCCACCTTTAAGGTCTGCAGTGCCTTGTAATGCTTTGGCAACACAAAGTTGAACAACAGAGCTTTTTAATCATTATAACCATTACATACAATTTACTGAATGGGAGTTTTGCTTCAGAAAACCCCAATTGTTCAACAAAATGAAGATAAATTATTCTGTTGGAAAGAATTATTTTTTGATTTTTTTTTTATTTTTTTTTTTAAATTGCATATGTCTGTAAGGGAGTTTTTTAGTCCAGTTCATGTACTTTTCCTAGGAGGAGAGAAGTATATATGCAGGCAATTTTTGTGATAGCTTCAGATTACCAAAAATGCGTGCTTTGTGTAGGATGCAAGAATGCAAGACTTTGAAGCTGAGCATGTGTGAAAGCTGACTCATAAGTATACTGGCTCTTGAGAAGCTGAGAGAATTGTTTGAGAATAATGATTATGTGATTTTTAATAATTATGGACAGTGTTTCAGAGAGCTGATAGCCCTTACACAAAACTCTTTGTCAGAGTAAATGTCTGTTGTCGCTTTGACATTCACGTCAAGAGCCATGCTGAATTTGAGTGTTGAATGCAGACTGAAAAGCAGGTCTTCTTTTTGAGGAGCTCTGCTCCTTCTCAAGAGAGTAACCGAAGCACCTAAACACGAGATTGTTACAACATCAAAAGTTAATGATAGGAGGAGGTGCAAGTTTCAAGCAACTAATAGAAGAATAGGAGGAGGTTTTAATAATTTACCAGATAAGAACACTGTATCTAACAATTTTTGACATTTTACAGCTCTCATTTCTTTAAAAGGGCTCTTCTCTATTACTGTACATTTAGAGAAAAATACCTAATTGTATAGAAACAATAGACTTTGAATGAAGAGGAAGTGAATAAAGAAGAAAATGGAAAAGGCTATTTTTCTTGAATTTTCCTTAAAAATATGTATACCTACTGAATAATGAAAAGGCAAATGTTTCTGTGAGGAAATAAAATGAGTCAATTGTCAATAGCCCAAATAAAATATGCATGATGAAAAGGGAAAAGGATATTATTGTAGAATAGTTTTATGATTTTACAACAATTTATTTATCCCTGTCAGTAATGTCAAGATCTAATTCTATTAATTTCTTTAGGCTTTTAATACAGGCTCGCTATGATGTAAATATTAAAGATTATGATGGCTGGACACCACTTCATGCTGCTGCTCACTGGGGTAAAGAAGAAGCATGTCGCATTTTAGTGGAAAACCTATGTGATATGGAGGCTGTCAACAAAGTGGTAGGATTTTTATGTAATCCTTGTCAAGATACAAAGTTCTGGTCTCTAAAGTGACTTTAGAAGCCAGGGTAAGAAAAGTGATGATAAACTGCTGTTTACTGTACGTGGAGCTTTATATAATGCATGTTTTGTCAAAACAGCATGTTTGTGTTCAAAACTAAATTCTCTGATTGTTTAAATTAATTTCTAGGTCGACTTTATTCTTATTTCTAAATTAAATGATCCATATAACCTTTGACATAGAAATTCAAAATAGAATGGGTTTTTGATATTTCAGAGGTACAAAATTGGAAACTTTATCAATTGCATACAGGCTTTAATTTGATCACTGAAGACCATCATGCCTTTGGGTAGTGTTTTAACTCTTAAAATCAGCTTGTGTTTGCATACTAAAGAGTTATGACTATAAACTGGTTTGGGTGGACTGGAAGAAACTTGTAGGCATCTCTGAACTCCCTAGACGTAACCTGAATGCCTTCTAAGCTGTATTTGCTCAACTTTTACACAAAGACCTGTGTAGCTTGCTGGCTTTGCAAGATCCTGCTCCCAACAGATATAAATATATTCATGATTCACGTAGCCATCACAAGGATCCAAAACTTTTAATTCAACTGTGTAAGTGCTGAAGTTCTCTTTCTTCTCTTTGCACCATGTTTTACAGATAGATTCAGATCTGCTTCCACTTTCTGTCAATACTGTATATGTAAATTACCTGCCCAATTTTTAAGATGTATTGAATTTTTTCATAAACTTTTAAAAATAAATTAGGGAAATATGCAGATACAGGTAATGAATTGGCAAGTACTCTATAAAAGGGCAAAACTACTTCTGCTTGACATTTTTAGTCTTTGTCACTTTTTCTTCCTTCTTGCTTATAATAAAATACGGAATTAAATTTCAGAGCTTCAACTCTTTTCCTGTGTAATGCTTACAGAACTTGTAAATATTAGCTGCATAACTGTAGTTTGTATCAGGCAATCAAAAGATGATGCAATTACTTGAAGCCAGTTTATCAAGTTATCTGTTAGACTTTTTACTGGTGGTGTGAGAATGTGGAGGGTGGTATTCCGGAGAGCACTCATAAAAGTATGTTCAACTTACCAGGGGCAAGAATAATAATAGAGGAGGTACAGACAGATATAAACTGTTTCATTTGGTGTATGGGCTTGTCTGTGCAAGCTAGGAAAGTTCTGCCTGTTGTGTTCTTAAGTAAACCAGTAAGCATTTTTGCTTTTGGTGATAGGAACATTGAGAATTCCTCAGGATTTTGTTTCAGTTGTAGGTGCTTAGCATCTCAGAGAACTCAACCATTATTGTTTAGGCACTTGACTTCAGATATTAACTTCTATGAATTGGGTTTAGATACAGACTTCCAACTACAATACATTTTTTGCAAAGTGATTTTTTTTTGTGGTCAAGGTAGGTCTAACTCAGATTTTTTGGAAATAAACCCACTTAATAGCTACATAAAAATAGAAGGCCAAATCAAAAACTCTAGTCTTAGTGCAAATATAAACTTGAGATAATTTTGTTTAGTTTCCAGTTTAGTTATGCTAAATTGAATAGTTCATTGCCCTGTTTTGGGCAATGCTTGTTGAAAGGTGCACATGCTTCTTCTATATGGTCAGAAGTTCTATGGATGTGAAAATTAGTGATTTTAAAGTCCATCTTTTCTAACCAGTTAAGATAGCCTTCACAGCGTAATTAGGTATATGTTTGCCTTTAGTTAACATTTTGAGAAACTGAAGCAGAGGCAAATATGAACACATTTAATTATTTTTATAAGCTGCTGTGAGAACTTTTAAATGACAGCTCTGTCTTTATTGCTGGTTATTGTACAGAAGTACTTACTTGACTGATCTTGTCACGATCCTCCCAACATTTCGGTACGTCCACCCAGCGTGTTGATGCAGCTGCGTTTATACCTGCGGATCTAGGACTTTGCCTAGATTCCAGCCTTCTTGTATTTGAATGCAGCCTTCCAAATACAAAGCATTGTATTGCAGTACCAAAGTAAGTTAGGCTTTCTTTGTGAAACTGTGTGAGCTTCAGCCTTCACCCTTCTCATCTTCAAGCAGAGTTGAAGAAAGGGAATTTTTGAAATACTTGCCAACTCAGACCTTAAAGATAGAATCTCGCATCCTCAGGGCATCTGGTCTAGTCAAGAACTGCAGTGACTATGTAGATGTAAGATATAGCAAACTGAAGAAATTCCAGCTGACAGCGTTACTCTGCATCAGTGAATCACATTATGATCTGTATATTCAAGTACTTGTCTCATGGAAATCATACGCTAAGGGAGGATAAGAACAAATGGTTGTAGCATATCTCTTCTAAAATACAGTTTTACTGTAAAAATGTGAAAGCATGACTGTTTAAATTTAGTATAGCATGCTTAAATAATTTAAACTTTAAAAAAAACAAGCTGTACATGGTAGTCTAAGATGGACAGGATATTGAACTGCTCAGTATCCATCCATACAACTGCCTAGACTAGTTGTTTGGAACTGATATTGTGAAAATCATATTCTTTCAATCTACTCTTTTCTTTTCCTTGATAGTTTTTTTTTGCATTCAAAGAACAGCAAAACTTTATTAAAGTCATATTTTTATCTCTTTAAAAATGTGTTTATTCATCAGGTATAGATATTTCGGTTTCAATTACCTAAAAAAAGTAATATTGCAAAATTGTTTTCAACCACTGAAAGACTAACAGTTTGTAATAGAGCTTGGCTTATACTTTCTAATTTCTCTTTCTGAATGTGCTCCTTACCTGCATCATCATGTGATAAGGCATCATAATCCACTGTATTTAAATTCTGCTATACAATTACAGTGTTTTACTTCTTCCTCTTCTCCAGGGGCAGACAGCGTTTGATGTGGCAGATGAAGATATTCTAGGATATTTAGAAGAATTACAAAAGAAGCAAAATCTGGTAGGCCTTTTACATATAAAGATATATATATATATCTGTTATAATTTATTATCCATATGATTATGGTACACCACTCAGAGCAGCATAGAGATTAAAAACAAAGGTTTGATTTGGGGCTTCAATTCACGTAATGCCACAGCTATCTTAGAGTTATTTCATGCTCTTATTTGGTCAATTATAGTGACCAGAAAGCCTTGGAAGAAAGAAGGTGCTCTTCTACTTGCCTCTCTCATGGGCATTTTATGATCTGAAACATCAATAATGAACGACTTACTTAGAATAACAGTTTCTGAGATTTTGGAATTTTGAACTTCGACACTTTGAAAGCTTATACACATTCCAGTGTTTGTACTAGTTAAAGAAGATTTCCATCCATTTGTAATTTTGTTACACTGATACCATTCTGTCAATTTAACTACATCATTCTATATGTCTTGAAGCTTCATAGTGAAAAACGGGAAAAGAAATCTCCCCTGATTGAATCCACAGCCAACATGGATAATAATCAGACACAGAAAACATTCAAAAAGTAAGTAAACTAGGAAAAACTATAAGCTCTTCATAAAAAGACAAATTTACAAGCTATCACAAAGTCCTGCTTGACAGGCTTGAGTAAATTTTTCAGGACATAGTAAATATTTTTCTTTTCAAACTCAGTAAAGAGACATTGATTATGGAGCAAGAAAAGAATGCATCGAGTATAGAGTCTCTGGAGCAAGAAAAAGCAGATGAGGAAGAGGAGGGAAAGAAGGATGAATCCAGTTGTTCTAGTGAAGAGGAAGAGGATGATGATTCGGAATCAGAAGCAGAGACAGGTATGTTGTTGTCTTTAAGTTTTTACTTTATAAATTTACTTATTTAATATCACATAACACAGAGTTAAGTATCTTAAATTTCACTTATTCTTCTGCATTTCACTAAGTTTCCAATAATTTTAAAGCAAGTTTGTGTATTTCTGCAGTCAAGTAATAACACAGATATCTTTACTGGTGGCTCTTTAGGTCAAAACTATTAACCTTCTTATTTGATTGGCTATTTAACAATTGATACTTTTAATTAAATAGTTGGAATAATATAAGCCTTAATTAGCTTGTCAGAAAACATGGAAGTTAGGAGGTCAAATCAGAAATTACGTTTTTATAGCAGTGTTTGCTTGTAGAACTGGTATAGAGTTTGGAAGAGAAGCGCAAACATTCTCATTTGTTCTCACCACCCTGAAGTAAATCCAATGAACCTGCAGTCTTAGCTGAGGTATTCATAAAGTAATGATGCTTTTATTTACTGTTCAGTGTGTACTGAAATAAACTTTGAAATGTGCTATTTTAATGTTAACAGTTACTTTATATACAACTTCCTTTCAAGAGGACAGTTCTTTGAAAAGTTTGGAATTGTGTGCAAAGAAAGACATTGCTCAATGGAATTTAGTTATAGTAGTTATAACTAATAGTTATGTGTTTAGTTATAACAGTTATTTAGTTATAATTAACAATTATCCGAGTCTTAAAGCAAGTAGTGATATAAGAACAGTATAGCATCTTTTTCTTTCAAATCAGAAAACAAATGTCAGGCAATCAGTGTTTAAAGATATATATGTTAAATCCTAATAAAGTATTTTAGATACAGTGCAGCAGTACAACGTAGATGTTATAAGTAGCCATTCTTTTTGGTGAGCTGTCAGTTCTAATTTTAGTACGTTTTTTCCAATTTCTTCTGAAAAGTTAAGATTAAGGAGGGATTCTAGACCTAACCAATATATCATAAATATTTAACATAGTCAGAAATACAAATAAGTTGCGAAACCAAACTGTCTATTATGATTTAATTATTTTTGCGTTTTGAAATAAACCAGCGTTTCAGTGTTAAGCTGGAAAAAACATTTGTCAAGCTTTGTAATTGGTTTTTCATGTTAGTACACTTGCAACCCTTATTTACAGAGACTGAGCTTTGATAAACTCAAACCACTTGTAATATAGAACATGTAGTAATTTCTCAGTCACTGAGTCCTGAACTTTATGACTCTGGTAACTGTGTTCTCTTCGTTACCAGTAGATAGTTTGTGCCAGGAAAATTTGACTGTGACACAAGAATTAATTTATGTAAACTTTGGGTTTTTTTAATATCAACAAAGCTTTATCATACTTTATTTGGCAAGCTAGACTTTAAGCTTTTCCCTGTAGAACTGCATCTCTAAATTCAAAGCTTGTACTTTCCCTTTTTTCCCATTATTCAGTTTAAGGTAGTTTTCTAGTGAAAAAATTTAAGATTATAGGAGCATTCTGGTTACAAAATATTATAACAGTGTTCCATGTTCTGAAGTACTGGAAACTGATTTATAATCTGTTGGGATAATGTAAATGTTTTCCCAAAACTTATGTTCTATTTCATTGATTATGTGAGAATACAGTTTAAAAATAAATACATTTCTGTCTGTAAGACCAAGAAGGGAAATATGAATATGAAGCTAGCATCTCCTAAATGACAGGGAACCAAGCTGAAAAATAAAACTTTAAGCAGATTAGGTTTTTTAACTTAATTTGTTTAAGGTATTTTAATGTTTTTTGAAAGTTGCTCAATCATGCATACAACTATGTTCTTGCTGTCCTTGAAATAATTTCAGAATAGAGTTATGAGAAACACATTTTTCTTCCATTCTTTCACTCTTGATAACTTTTTCTGTGTATTTTAATGCTGTATTACGCATTTGCAAATTTCCAGCAGATCTGCCTGTGCATCTTCTCAACTCATACTGTCAGTCTGCACTACCCTGTTGAACTTTTTGTCACTATGACCTAGAAGGTTACTACCATTTATTTTCACTTGTGTTTAAAAATAACTTTCCATGAAGTGCACAGTTAGTCATATAAGCTGATTTTTTAATATTTGTATTTATTTACTGCATAAGTAATTATTCAAAACATCATTAAAACAAGTGTGTAACAGCAATACCACTAATTACACTATTTCCAATCATAGGTTGGTACTTCGTTGAATTTGGATGTTAGATGTGAGAACACTACATGAAAACATTGCATACTTTCTAAATTAACTGCTCCTATGCTGTATGGGTAGTGTACATAAAGGTGTGTTTATAGCAGGGCCAAAAACAATGGGATTGAGCCCCATGTTGCTCCATACTGCACAGATAGGATGTAGCATCCTACTCCAGACAATGTAAAACAGAAGTAAGGTGTAAAATTATGAAGTTCAAGCAAGCACAGTGACAACAGATACTGTATCACAACCATGAAATTTTCTGTATGTTTGGTTAAGGTGCACAGACAAAGGACAGAGGAAGAAATGTGAGCAGGAAGGACAAAACAGAAGAGGGTAGAGTAGGTAGACAGTGACACTTAGGTAGGAAAAACAAGGGACAAAGAAGGAATGAGATAAATGGCAAGTCAGAGCTCTGGAAGGTGAGTCCCTACCTCAGCTTGTTCTAGTGACCAGAATTCCTTGCCTGAGTTTTCCATGCAGTTAATTATTTCTTTGCACTCAGCATACACAGTTATCCAAGAATAAATGTTTTACTTTGAATTAGCTTCTTCTGTAGTTCTAATTAACTATTAGATGCCAACTAATATAACTCCTACTGTTAAATTTTTATGTTCATTAGCCATCTACTAAAATATAGACTGTCTGAGGAGGCAATGGAATCTCTGTCTCTTGAGGTTTTCAAGACCTGACTCATCAAAGCCTTGAGCAACCTGGTCTTTATGCAGTATTGACCCTGCTTTGAGCAGGAGGTTGAATTAGGTGACCTACCAAGGTCACTTTCCACCCAAATTACTCTCTGGTTCTCTCTCTGCATCTCTGAGTGTTTAACACTTGCTGAATAACAAAAAAAAAAAAGGGGGAAAAAAAAAAAAAGAAAAAGTTACAGGCATGACCGCTATGGAGAAAAGATGGACCTAACTAAGATACAGATTGGAAGTGAGGGGAGAAAAGACTGAGGAATAAATAATAAATGCTGTTCGGAAAGCTGACTCTCAGATTTGTTCAAAAGAAACTCTGTTGTAGAAGTGAAGAAATTGTGAATGAAAAATGAAAATTAAAATCTTGTAAATATTTTGCAGATAAGACCAAAACCTTGGCAACTGTAACTAATAATGCAAATACTACAAGTACACAATCAGCATCAGTAGCTGTGACAGCACCTTCAGTAGCTGGTGGCCAAGGGGCACCTACATCACCTGTTAAGAAGGTAAAATAAAATAACCTTTCTTGTGATTTTAAATTTCTGTTCTTCTGTGTAAGCATACTTTTTTTTTTATTCTTATATAAAAAGTGCACTGTATGAACTGATGAAAATATACATAGATTGCTAAAATATTTTTTGTTTTTCTGCAGAAACTGTGTTCAGTTTTTTGAAATTTTGAAGGGCTTTGATTCTAAACAGGGATCTAAAATACAGAACTATGAAATAACTGTAAATAAGATCCTTTTAAAAAAGCAAATATCTATTGGACTAGTGGAGTTCTTGTTTTTCTGAAGCTAAGCTTCATCTTTTGAAAGTCTTTTCTATGCTAGATTCCTCCAAGATTTTTAGAAACGACAGTTCTAGTGTCTGTCTGTGCCTGTATTTGTGATGCCTTCAAGGCAAGGGAGGCAGGTGTGACTAAGGTGCTTTCAGGAGTCCTTAGAAGCATTCAGCTAGTGCTTAGGCACAGAAGTTGTGAATGATAACTGAAATAAGAAGTAGAAAGTGCTGTAGGTCCCAACCTTGATTTCAGTATAGTTAGGACCTCATGGAAGAGCTGGAGAATTGGGACACGTATTTTATTCAATGCACACCTCAAAACACACACCTAGGAAAGCCATATTGCATGCAGGAAGCTTTTTACAGCTTGATGTGAAAAGTTAATTGGAATTAATTGTGGTTTTGCTTGTTAAAGGGAACATATATGTGCCTGGGGAAAAAATTTACAGTAGATAATAATGCATAGTCAGAAGGTGATATACAAGTCAAACTTTTAGAATATCAAAGCAAACTGGATAGTAAGCCAGTAAGGTTTCATTTGTCAATCATTACAAGTTTTCTATACTTATCATCATCAAAGTGTAACTCTCTACCGATGCTTCTGAAAAGCGTGTTTAGGAGAAATAGCCATGATATACTGAAGCCACAGTAGAGAGAGAAGACATACTGCTGGGCAAATAGTATGTATTGTATTTAGCTCCCAGGGGCTTATTGGAGTTACACTTTCACATTCACAATAGCACCTGATGATGGTTCATCTTACAAAGTATACTTTCATGTAACAAATGGAGGGACTATATTGCCCAACTACATCATATTATGTGATACTGTACAATAGGGTTGGGCCAACCTTCGGAGCTGCTTTACAAAAGTCACTGTGACTGATGTCCACAAGATTTATCTCAAAAACACATAAGAGCAAAAGGGTAGTTCTAGGCATGGCTCACTGGCAGGAATGACTACTGTTTCCCCTCACTGAGCTTTGTGGCTTGGCAGACAGTTAAATTCCAGGGTGACGTTGTGACGTTAATCTAAACAGTTTCTGCTGGCTCAGTAAGGAATTATGGTTCTCTGTCATGGGAGCTGCGTCTGCATCGCTCAGAACTCAAAAGCCACAAGTTCTCCATGCAAACCACAGCAACTGCATGAGCGAGGGAAGACACTGTGAGCAATTGCTGGTTTCCTAACTGTGCCTAACTGGCATGAATTCAAATATATAGTGTGAATTTTACTGCAAGGAAATAGGCTTACTTTATACAGTTTATTTTTTGAAATCACTTCAGTGATTTCACAAATAGAAGCATTTGTGACGGTTGGGCAATTTAACTGATGTGCTCTCCACCCAGTTTTTTTACTGCACTTATCTTTGCACACTGGAGATTCTAAAATATCTTAACACTTCATACACTTAATTTTCCTTGTAATTGTCTGAACTTCATCTTGAAGTCAAAAGTTTCTTAGCTTGTCCCTTCCAATCAATTTATTTCATATTATGCAAAAACCATCTCAGCCATATGACCTTCAGCAACAGGGCATTACCAAATTGTTGCTAGCTGGAATGTAGCTTGGCATTACAGAGTTGAATGATCAAATAGACATAAATTTTTTGGTATGTGATTAAATGACGATGAATGGGAGAGAAATAACTTTTTTATAATAAGAAGAAATAAATATGATTTTAAGCTGAATGATAACCTTTTATAAATCATTAATACACTGGCATTTAGTTTGTTCCAGTTTTATTATGCAGTAATTAATGGCTTATCTTTTGCTCTTAAAGGTGAAAGGTGCAGGTTAAAATAAATTACAGTTACCTTTCTAATACCCTATGTGAAAAATTCAGGGCCTTCTGTAGCTACAAAATAAATGCAAATTTATATCAAGACTGATAATCTTGTAACATAGCAGGTACATATGATCTAGAGAAGTAGTTCCAGCTCATATCAATGAACAAAAAAGCTTTAAACTGTTTTTAATAATGAAGGTAAACCAGCACTGTATGTGTGATGTTTCTCCTACTCCTGCACCTGCCTTATCAGGTTTGCACCATCTGTGCTGCTGCAGCTGCTTTTCTGCTTTTACACCGTACATGCCAAACTGTATGTTGCTCACAAGTGATGTAGATGCAGTACACTGAGCTTGAATTTTGGTTTTCTTGAGTCCATATGGCATTCAGAAATGCTGCTTTACTGAAGTACTTTGCGAATGAATGTATGGGTTTGACAGCTAGGCTAGCATGGGATGTGATTAAGGGGGATATGAATGTAATATAATAAGAAGATAAGAGGCATGTTGGGGTGAATCTTCCAGTATTCTCAGCCACAGGACCATTTAGGCCATGGACCTTATTAGGTCAACAGGCTTTGCTGTCCTCTTCTATGCAAACTGTAATTCTGTCTCTGAATTAGCTAAACAAGCTGTGTTGTGTTTAATAAGAATCTGTTACTGAGGTTTTAATTCTCTTACTGCTTTTTGTTATTTTGTGCTGTAATGAAGTGCTACGTAACATAAACATAGGAACAAACTATGTGGTTTTAAAACAACCTTTTGTTTCTATTTTCCATTCTTTCAATCTTCATCTTTGTCTTGTCTTAATTGGCTTTAGTATGATTACATTCCTCCTATCATGCCTGTCGTGGAGTCAGTAGATCCTGCATCATGGAGGCAGGGCTTGCGCAAAACTGGCATTGTTCTTGTGCCCAGTAAGGGTGAAAAATCTATGGTGAGGTTCTGGTGTGCATAGGTTTATGTACAAGTTGCAAAATAACATATTTAATCAAAGTATTGATAATGGATTTGCATGTTTCTAAGTTTGCATCTCATGATCACAGTGTGTATTGCAAAGTGTGGGTTTTTCTAAGCTAACTTTTAGAGGAGTAGTATACCTTGACCAGTCTTACATTTCTTATCTTATTAACTAATTTAAGAGAAGAGTGTGAAGGTTGTCTCTCACC